CATATATTTTCATATATGTTCTCTACACTAACATTTGGCTGTACATTTGTTCTTATCCCACTGCAATCGTGCCTCTCTAATTTTGATTTCACAGAGTATGCACCATTCCCCTTCTTTTCTTGCCAGCCTATGCCTCTTCCAGCATGATCCTTCTGTTTATAAACGGTGTTCATCGCTAGTCTGATCTGCGTTCTCAGTCCTTTTGAGCTCTACTTAAAGTGGTAGTAGGCAGTTACTTTGCCATTCAAATAGCTGAGCCAGTGTTCAGTTCATGGATTACTGCAGTGACACCCGTTTTAGGTCCTGCAACTACCATGTCTCGCTTTTTTTTTTTTTTTTTTCCAAATAATTATCTATGAGGACCTCTTAAGAAAGATTAAGGGAAAAAAAGGTCTTCCAACTCTGTGGATCCAGGGCCTCTTCAATGTCTCTCAAAGTTTCTAGCAAATCTCGCCACTGGAACTTTTAACAGAAATGTTTGAATTATTCCAATAAGTATACTCGAGACATAGAAGTCTTCCACCTGGGGCTACTTGACCACCCAGCCAGAGAATAACATCCTATTATTTTCCCTTTTATAAAGCTCATTTTGACCTGGTCTTTTACATAGAGTCAACTAAATTGTTGCTATTTGAAAGACTAACTGTATTGACTTACAATATTGGGTGTGACACTGTTTTCTGAGCCTAAGTGAGATGTATGGGTGGTCTGGTTTCTATAATAGAAACCTCTGAACATATCATGGAAGCTACTGGTGGAAATATTAGAGGGTTTGGTAAAAATTGTCCAGACTGTAGAAAACTTCAAAAAGTTAACAGCTTTGCAAATGCCAAAGGACTAGTGGGAACTACATTCATTACTACAATTGATTTTCTTGAGTCAAAATAACTGATAGATCTGGTGCATGTTTCAGTGTAAAACTTAAATATAATCAAACTAATCATAAATTTCTGATTCCCTATGAAAAGCCATGACCCATCAGGGATACTTTTGATTGTTTGGAGTGGGGAATGCTTATTTGTTCAACTTGCTCAATCTCTTGGGTCCCAGATGTCTTTGTACCTTCCTATGGGATATTTAGTACTTTCCCATGGGATATTTAAGCTTGAAAATCATATTCAGGGAGAGCTTCAGAGCTCACTTCCAAACTTAACTTACCTCTTTGAACAAACACTTAGCATGTAGGTTTGAAATTCAGAAAGAAGTGATGTAAAGGGGCTTCAAAAAAACTTTACCGATTTAAGGACATCAAGCTGACTTCCTAAGTGTGTATCTCTAGTTCAAATCAGCAATGACCTATTCTCCCAACACTCATCACACCCCCTCTCCATTCCCCATTTCCTCAAGCCAATAGTAAATTTGATTTTACTGGTGTCTGGGTCTCGACTTTGGGAATCAGTTGCTTTCTGCTACTGCTAAGAAACTGGGGAGGAAGCAAGCAAGGATCTGAATGTCACATGGCAGGGATGGTTTCATGTTATAGGTTTTAGAATTACCCAACTCAGACCTAGACTTGCAATCAAGTAGTGGTGAACCAGAAATCTAGGTAGCAAAAGCATCCTGTGTTTACCTAAATATCTATAAATATGATCTGCAAGAACAGCACCCTCAGGTCAGTCTCTGTGGCGCAATCGGTTAGCGCGTTCGGCTGTTAACCGAAAGGTTGGTGGTTCAAGCCCACCCAGGGACGGTTAGCACTTTTTTATTCCAATTCCGTCGTTACTATTTTTCTCCATTCTTCTTTTCAGATCCAGAAGTTCTACTTCTAACCTAAAATCCTACACAATGGTTGCTTTGTAAAACACGTTTCCTAACATCTGCCACCCCAGAGTTTAGAGGTCCTCTAGTGCCGAACTAGAGGATCCTGTACTTTTCCCTCCAGAAACAAATCCTTTGAGAGCTGCTTTCCTGCAGAACCTCGCAGCCAGCAGGACTTTGCTGGTACTAAGGAAAACAAGTATGGCTCTCTCGCTCAATGCTAAAGAGCTGGAGAAACCCAATGACCTCTCCAAGTTTAAAGAGTGCAGGGGCAGCAAAACTCCACCTCCATTCTCTTAGGGTCCCGACTGCACCTGAGAATTACATTAACAGAATATAGATCGAATTTCTTTAATACAAGTTTTATGTGGCACAGAAGCACTTATGAGGAAATGGAGATGAGAAGAAGCAGAGTTAGTAATTTATATATTAAATTGGCTGAAGAGCTGTAAGTTGTGAAGAAGCAACTAAATTACGTGGAAAGGCTTTAAAAATAAGAGGTTTTTTTTTTTTTTTTTTTTTTTTAACAAGATATCTACAGAAAAGTGCCTTTAATAAACATTTAAATAAGTTAAAAACTTAAATAGTTTTTGATGGTATCTGATTCAAATTATGGGCCTGGAGGAAATAAGAGGTGATAGAAGTGGGTCTTGAGATAAGTTGGCATTTCCTTGCCATGTAACTGTCTCAGATGTTATCATAAAGGATCTTCAAACAAGAGAATTTCAACTTGTTCACATAGGAAGAAAGCCGACTCTTTTCCTAGTAAGGGAGGCTCAGTGAGATTTGTGGGTTCAAAGCACTCAGGTTCACAATAATCTGCTCAACTGTCTCATTTCCATTCCCACTGTTGATGAATGCACCAACTGTCACAGAAGAGGCATACCCAGACTATGAATTTAACTTGGGTTTTAGTTTTTTAACCTGCAGGATCAAATTTGAAGTTCATATCTTGGCTATTCAAGATATACACACACACACACACATCCTATTTTTACTGTTTTGTCGGTAACTATGGAACTCTTACTAGATAGAAAGTAGTATACAGATCATGGGAATGTGAATAGTTACAATCACTTTAGAAAGCTATTTAGATGGACATACCTGCCACAGCTGACGTATGTGTGCATGTTTCAGTAATTTTTTCTGAGGTATATACCTAAGAGAAAACTATGTAACTATATAGATATAGAGGTAGAGATAAATAGGCAGATAGTCTCCAAAATACATGTACAAAATTGTTCAAGAAACCATTCTTTAAATTTTTATTTAATATATCATAAACTGTACATATTTAAAGTATACAAAATGGTGTTTTGACATATGTATATACTAGTGAATCCAACACTGTCATTAAGATAGTGAGCATAGCCGGGCGTGGTGGCTCATGCCTGTAATCCTAGCATTTTGGGAGGCCGAGGTGGGGGGATCACGAGGTCAGGAGATCGAGACCATCCTGGCTAACACGGTGAAACCCCGTCTCTACTAAAAATACAAAAAATTAGCCAGGCGTGGTGGCAGGCGCCTGTAGCCCCAGTTACTCGGGAGGCTGAGGCAGGAGAATGGCGTGAACCCGGGGGCGGAGCTTGCAGTGAGGGGAGATCCAGCCTGGGCGACAGAACGAGACTCCGTCTCAAAAAAAAGAAAAGAAAAGATAGTGAGCATATAGGCTGGGTGCGGTGGCCCAAGCCTGTAATCCCAACACTTTGGGAGGCCAAGGCGAGTGGATCACCTGAGGTCAGGAGTTCGAGATCAGCCTGACCAACATAGAGGAACCCCATATCTACTAAAAATACAAAAATTAGCCGGGCATGGTGGCACATACTTGTAATCCCAGCTGCTTGGGAGGCTGAGGCAGGAGAATCACTTTAACGCGGGAGGCGGAGGTTGCAGTAAGCTGAGATTGCACCATTGCATTCCAGCCTGGGCAACAAGAGTGAAACTCTGTCTCAGAAAAAATAATAATTAAAAAGAAAAGACAGTGAGCATCTCCATCATCCCCAAGCAGTTTCCCTATAGCCTTTTGTAATTCCACAATTCCACCTTCATGTTCCTTACCACCTCACACCCCCTCTTACCCACCCATCCCCAAGCCAACCACTGATCTGCTTTTTGTCAGTATAAATAAGTTGTCATTGCCTAGAGTTTTACGTAAATGAAATCATACAGCACGTCCTCTTTTTTGTTTGGTATGATCTCTCAGTCCATTCAGGTGCTATAACAAAATGCCATAGACTGGGTGGCTTATAAGCAACAGAAATTTATTTCTCATGGTTCTGGAGGTTGGGAGGTCCAAGATCAAGGTGCTTGCACATTTGGTTTCTGGTGAGGGCCTGTTTTCTCACAGAAAGCAGTCTTTTAAGAAGTCTCACATGGTGAGGGTCTCTTTTATAAAGACACTAATCGTATTCATGAAGGCTCCACCTTCATGACCTAATTACCTCCCCAAAGCCCCATCTTGTAATATCATAACCTTGGGAGTTAGAATTTTAACATATGAATTTGGGATGTGTGTGCAAACAGTCAGTCCATTGCAAATAGTCTGTCTCTTTAATTTTAGACATTCTAATTTATGTGTAGTGGTACCTTTACACCCACTAGGATGGCTATAATTTTTAAAACGACAGAAAATATAAAGCATAGGCAGAAATGTGGAGAAAAATGAAATCATCATAAACAAATTCAGTGGTATTAAGTACGTTCACAGGATTGTGCAACCACCATCTCAATCTAGTTCCAAAACATTTTCATCATAAGAAAGTAAAACCCCAGGCCGGGCGCGGTGGCTCACGCCTGTAATCCCTGCACTTTGGGAGGCCGAGGCGGGCGGATCACGAGGTCAGGAGATCGAGACCATCCTGGCTAACACGGTGAAACCCCATCTCTACTAAAATACAAAAAATTAGCCGGGCGCGGTGGCGGGCGCCTGTAGTCCCAGCTACTCAGGAGGCTGAGGCAGGAGAATGGCGCGAACCCGGGAGGCGGAGCTTGCAGTGAGCCGAGATGGTGCCACTGCACTCCAGCCTGGGCGATAGAGTGAAGACTCCGCCTCAAAAAAAAAAAAAAAAGAAAGTAAAACCCCATATCATTATGTGATTACTCCACATTCCCCAGCCCCTGGCAGCCATTACTCTGTTTTCTGTTCCTACATATTTACTTATGCTGGTGGGAATATAAGTGACTTAGTAATTCCACTACTAAATAGATAACCCCCAAAAGTAAAAAACAGATACTCAAACAAATGCTTGTACATAAATGTTCATAGCAGCAATATACACAACAGCCAAAAGGTGGAAACAACCCAAATGCCCATCAACAGACTAATGGATAAAGGAAATGTGGTATATACATAAAATATTATTTGGCCATAAGAAGAAATGAAATCCTAGCACGTACTATGACATGAATGAACCCAAAACTATGCCAAGTGAGAGAAGCTGGACAAAATGTGACACATTATGTGATTTCATTTCTGTGAAGTACATAAAATAGGTAAATCCATTTCAGGTTCCAGGAAACAGAGCATGGCCTGAAAGATGGGTGCAGCTCCAGGTAGGCAGGTCTCCCAGGCTCTGAATGCTCCTTCCTCTGCATGGGGAGGGGCATATTTAGAGATCAGGAATAGGATCCTTTGGGGGAGGGGGGCAAAAGAGACACATGTTTTTCTCAATCAGCCGTGGAGAAACTATGTAAGTGAAGGACATGCTGATTTTAGGAAGCAAGAAGGAGGGCGGGAGGGAGGGAGGAAGGGAGATGAGAAACTCTCGTGTCAGAGGGAGTGCGTGAGAAAAATGATTTGGGAAACATTTTTCTCTTCCCCAGCTTGACTTGTGACAATCTTTCTTCCAACGTTTCTGCCCCTAAAGCCTTCTGCCACCCTCTGACCCAGGCAGCAGTCGCTGCATCCAGTACTATACACATTACTGCAAAATATTCTTAAGACATTCCTATAGCTTTCTAACATGTGCCTGAGGTGGCTGAGGCGTCTGTCCTAAGATCTTTTCCCAGAAGGTGTTGCCCACATTCTGTGACTGTCCCTCCCTGGTGGTCTAGTGGCTAGGATTCGGCGTTTTCACCGCCGCGACCCGGGTTCGATTCCCGGTCAGGGAAGTCTGCTTTTTCTGCTTTCTGATGTCACTGCAGTGGTTTCCACCAAAGCCGTATTCAGTGATCTTCAGTTCAAGGCGGTGAACACTGCCTGTGCCTTTCAACCTCTCCCAGATGATCTGAAGTCTCGGTCTTGAGAACCGCCGGGCAAGGTCATTAGGGAGCCCTTGACAAGTAAGAAGGTTGACAAGTTACTGTTGTCAAGTAACTTCTCATTGTAAGAGGTTGACTTTCATCTATTCGTCTTATGGGTAAAGTTAACTAACTTATTACCATATAAAAATATGTTTCTATTTTTACAAAAGACCAAACGAATTAAGAGAGGTTTTCCATGTTTCAAATATGCAAATTAGTATAATGGACTAGTTTGTTTTCCGATATGGAACACCTGTTACCAGAGGAAACAGCAGCGCATCTGGTAAAATAACCTGGGCATTCTACATCTCTGAAATATAAACAAACCGCCTTTAGGGTTTAAATGAGAACTCGGCAGGAGGTGGGGGAGGGAGAATTACATTTATTCTTAAAACTGTGCCTATGCCAATTCATCAAACCTTTCTAGATTTAGAAGTCATTTGAAATAACTCACTTGTTTCACGTAAAAATTACTTATCTTGATTTTTAAAAATCAGGCCGGGCGCAGTGGCTCACGCCTGTAATCCCAGCACTTTGGAGGCCAAGGCGGGCGGATCACGAGGTTCACGTGGATCACAAGATCGAGACCATCCTGGCCAACATGGTAAAACCCCGTCTCTACTAAAAATACAAAACTTAGCTGGGTGTGGTGGCGTGGGCCTGTAGTCCCAGCTACTCGGAAAGCTGAGCTGTAGTCCCAGCTACTCCTTGAACCCGGGAGGCGGAGGTTGCGTGAGCCGAGATCCCGCCACTGCACTCCAGCCTGGTGACAGAGGGAGACTCAGTCTAAAAAATAAAATAAAATAAAAATCAGTAATTCTCAATAGAGTGGGGCTGAGGCGAGTCAGAATCTGCCTACTTTTTACTCCATATAGGCAGTCCCCATTCCCTGGATAGTGATGTACAGGATGTCAGCAATGTCTTGCAGAGAGGCGTGCCTGAAAGCGAGCCTTGACAGCTCCGGAGGGCAGTGACAGCCGCAGCCGCGGCGATAATAGAATGCATGTAATCAAGAAAGCAGAAAAGCAAGCTTCCCTAATTGGGAATCGAACTTGGGCGCTGGCAGCTAAAGCACTGAATCCCAGCCACTAGACCACCAGCGAGAGACAGCCTAGTTACCCAGGCAGCGCCTTTTGGAAAAATATCTTAGGACTGAGGCTTTAACCACCGCAAGCGTAGGTTATAAATTTTTAGGAGTGTCTGGAAACTGTTCTTAAAATTTCAAATAATTAGCCGGCCAGACGCGGCGGCTCACGCCTGCAATCTCAGCACTTCGGGAGACCGAGGCAGGCGGATCACCTGAGGTCAGGAGTTCAAGACTAGCCTGGCTAACATGGTGAAACCTCGTTTCTACTAAAAATACAAAAAATTAGCCAGGCGTGGTGGCGCGCGCCTGTAATCCCAGCTACTCCGGAGGCTGAGGCAGGAGAATCGCTTGAACCCAGGAAGCTGAGGTTGCAGTGAGCTGAGATTGTCTCATTGCACTCCAGCTTGGGCAACAAGAGCTGAACTCTGTCCAAAAAAAAATAAAAAATTCTCCTGCCTCAGCCTCCCCAGTAGCTGGGATTACAGGCATGCACCACCACGCCTGGCTAATTTTGTATTTTTAGTAGAGACTGAGTTTCTACATGTTGGTCAGGCTGATCTTGAACTGCCGACCTCAGGTGATCCGCCCGCCTCGGCCTCCCAAAGTGCTGGGATTACAGGCATGAGCCACCAAGCCTGGCCAGAAAAAAATTCTAATAATTTTATCTTTGAATATGTGATTTGTTAATGGAGTCCAGTGAAATAATGGAGCCTGCACATGAGCAGATAAGATACCAGCAGTTTTCTTGTCCTCCATTCTCATCACCACTTTGTATAAAGCCTTTGCCATGCCTGTTGAACACAGAATTTCGGGCGGACCCACTCTGCAGTGAGACTTGACAGAGACTCAAAGTGAATACAAGGAAAGTGTGTTGCCTCTATGACTGAATAAGCTGCTTGAAAGCCCCAAAGGCCACACTTTCCATTCAAACCAGAACTTACTTCAAAAGTAAAAAGCAGGCAGTAGCGTTCTAAGAAACACAAATGGCCAAACAATTCTATCATATCCTTTCTTGTGTTACCTCCCTCTATTAACCAACCGCTTATGCTGAAAATGATGACATAGAAGGAAAGAGAAAGACAAAAGAACTTACAGTTCCCTCCCTTTCCGTTCAGTCCTTCTTTACTCATCAGCAACCTAAATGTAGAAAGTATGGGTAGAATGTGTGCATCAAGAAGTGAAATAAAAACAGGCCAGGAGCGGTGGCTCACGCCTGTAATCCCAACACTTTGGGAGGCAGAGGCGGGCGGCTCACGAGGTCAGGAGATCAACACCATCTGGTGAACACGGTGAAACCCCATCTCTACTAAAAATACAAAAAATTAGCCGGGCATGACGGGGGGCGCCTGTAGTCCCAGCTACTCGGGAGGTTGAGGCAGGAGAATGGTGTGAACCCAGGAGGCGGAGCTTGCAGTGAGCCAAGATAGCGCCACTGCATTCCAGCCTGGGAAACAGAGGGAGACACTGCTTCAGGAAAAAAAAAAAACACATAGTTGAGTTAGTTCTGTCCTGTGTTTCCAGTGTTCTGGTAAGGACAAAAATATACATGCAGGTAGGAGCTATGAAATATAGATTGTGTCGTTTTGGTGTTTCTACATATGAATTAAATGCTTTTTATTTACATTGCCAAATAAAAACCAACTTGGACTTAGATAAAGAGACTCTTCAAAAAGCTTATTGCAAAAGGTAGAATTTTCTGGTCTCAGAAACCTGAAAGGGTCTCAAAATCAAACAAACAAACAAAAAAGGCATTTCTTTCACAGGGAAGGATAAGCAGAGCTTAGCAGAAACAAAATTTTAAGCTGGGAAAGTAAGCGGGAGTGAACAGACACCATGACCAGAAGTTTTCCAGGCAATGTGTGTCTATGTGGTCAACGGATTCTCAGGATAAGTTGATTAGGGGTGCACAACTCTGCACTTTAGCACTTACCCAGGCTTGGGGACAAGCCAAAGTTCAAGGGCCTGTGGGGAGAGAAGCCTGACTAAAGCTAGGTCAAGAAAAAGCAGAGGAAAAGAAATGGGCAATAGTGAACACTTGGTCAGCATTTAAAACTGGAATTGCACAATATAAAGATAATGGGTAAAAATCATGCTAATTGATTTAGCAGTTTGGGAGGCTGAGGCAGGTGGATCACCTGAAGTCAGGAGTTTGAGACCAGCCTGACCAACATGGTGAAACCCAATCTCTACTAAATACAAAACATTAACTGGGCGTGGGGGTGCATACCTGGAGTCCCAGCTACTTGGGAGGCTGAGGCAGGAGAATCACTTAAACCCGGAAGGTGGAGGTTGCAATGAGCCGAGATCATTCCACTACACTCCAGCATGGGCAACAAGAGCAAAACCCTGTTTCAGGAAAAAAAAAAAAAAAAAAAAAAAAAACATGCTAATTATTTAAAGTCTTAATTTTTCTTTACATAGAATGACGAGAGCAAATAAAAACCCCCATGATGGGAAGGACTATGGAAGAAAGGAAAAAGCTTTATAGTTCACTACCCTTCACAGCACTTTTCTTGCTGCTTTTTTCAGAAGGGGTTGCATTTTCACTTTGCACTAGACCCCACAATTTATGTAGCTGTTACCAGAAGGTAAGATGAGTTTCCCGGGGTACATTTTTGGTATAGTGGTTAAGGCTTTTTTCTCAAACTTCCCTGTGGGAGTTTAAGTCTTGGTTTTGTCCTTCATTTTTCTTCCTTCCCACTATTAAGCTCCTGTTGCTGTAGCCATCAAGGTTTTCTATTGTTCTGGGGCTCAAGCAGACAAGGAATCCAAGAACACCCAGGCTATACCTTTCACCCAGGAGTCCAGCTGGGCCCTACGCCCAAATGATTGCTTTTTCTCCTTGCCCATTCCATCAAGGGTGACAGCTTCTTCCTAGTCGGTTCTTTGTCGTGGTCTCACTCCCCGCCTTCCTCAATCCAGAATCTGAGCAGGAAATGAATCTGGCCAAAGCAGGTGGTTGGATTTTCCTGACACAGGGCTTCAAAAAGACCAAACCTCACCTCTGCTCCACCTGCCCCCACTCTTGGATCCAGCAGCCTCACATTTCCCAGGCCTCTGCCCTGACATCTGCCTTGCTAGAGGGATGAGGAGCAGCTGCACCTGGAATTCCAACCACCTGCCGCAGTCTTGCATGGCACAGGTGAGTTTTGTTGGAGATGGGGTTGGGTGGAGAGTAGACAGTGTTTCTGGCATTTTCACGAATGGCCACTCTGATGCTGGCCTCTTGCTCTATCCTGGAGCAGGGGGCCAGACTAGGTGGTGGCCTAGGAGCAAATGGGGCATGAGCAATCAGTGCTTCCTACCCATCTGGGCCCAGTGAAAAAAGTAGACAGTTAGAGGAGCTCTCCACTTTAGATGAACAGCTTCATCTCCTTCCTCATTAGCATAGTCGGTGAGCATTCCCTTCTGTCCTGAGAGATCTGGATTTGATTCCCCTGCCATTTAACGAATTTGTTACCACTTCACTTTTGTTTATTCATTTTATTTCCTGGCTTACAAATACAATTAGCCAATTCGTTACTATATAGATATATGGTTTTTATTTTACAAAAAATCCAAATGGAAAGGGCGGGCGCAGTGGCTCACGCCTGTAATCCCAGCACTTTGAGAGGCCGAGGCGGGCGGATCACGAGGTCAGGAGATCGAGACCGCCCTGGCTAACACGGTGAAACCCCGTCTCTACTAAAAATACAAAAAATTAGCCAGGTGTGGTGGCGGGTGCCTGTGGTCCCAGCTACTCCGGAGGCTGAGGCAGGAGAATGGCGGAAACCCAGGAGGCGGAGCTTGCAGTGAGCCGAGATCGCGCCACTGCACTCCAGCTTGGGCCACAGAGCGAGACCACGTCCCCCCAAAAAAACAAAAATCTAAATGGATTATGTGTGGCATTCTTGACCTCACAGGCTCAGTAAAGGGTATTGGGTGGCTCTGGACTTCCCTAATGA